CTCGCCGGGCGGGGGAGGGGTGGGGCTGGGGGCGCTGTCACTGTGGCTGCCCTCTGTCTCCAGGCTGCTGGGCGGGAGTCAGGGTGACTTAGTGTCTAGAGACATCCAGGCCAGTGCTGCCCGTCTAGACACCTTCCCCAAGCAGAGCCCTAGTCAGGTGAGCCCCTCCTCTCAACTCCAATGTGAGCTCAATAATATGCTTCCATTTTACATGTAAGAATCCAAAGTCTAGGTGATTCCTCTTGCTGATTGGTGATGCAGCCAAGACTCAGTCACATCTGGCTCTGGTCTATGCTCTGTCCCACCTTACAGCTGCAGTACCTAATTGGGACTTGTGTAACTAGGCAGGAGCGACTAGTTGCTACCGCCATTCTTTAGCAGTGCTCACCGTGGGTCAGGTTTTGGGAGGAGCTGTAGGGTGCTGCTTTCTGGAACGGATGGTCAGCATAGTGCAAATGTGTTTTGAGACTGCAGAGTGCTACGGTCGGTCCCCAGATCCCGCAGGCCTTGTTTGCCGCTGACACTTGTGGGAGGCAGGAGAGGAAGCTGTAGGGTAGAGAGGATTCTAGAGGCCAAAGCATGACTCCCGGGAGGTCTCCCTTCCTTCCTCGCTGCAGAAATGACCCGGCTTGGCGGCTGAGGGGGGCGGTGCTGGGTACCATGGTTACATCGATCTTCCCTGCCACATCCTCCCATATTCCAACCCAGACTGGGCTCCAAATCTCGACATGGGCAGCAGGCATTTCTCCATGCCTGGCTGCTTGTGGTTGAGGAATGGGGGTTTGTGTGTGGATATGGAGACAGAGGAGACTCCTGTTCCTCGACACTGGCCCCTCCTCATTTTATCCCTGATGCTTTAGGCAGCCACATCTCTTCCCTCTAGTGTCTGGGAGGTTGAGGATGGGCCAGGACCCTCACTGCAGCTTGCTCTAGGACACTACCCCTGTCCTCCCTTCTCTTTCTTGCTCCATGCTGGGTGTTGGTGGTCCAGGTCCTGCCATTGGCCAGCAGCTTTCAGGCACCAGGGGTCTCTTAGTCTCCTCTGCCTCTGGTTGGGCTTTGGGAAAACACACACTCTTCACTGTGTGTTTTTACTAGGAGCATTGTGGGCATGTTTCTGGGACATGGATCCCCAAAGGGCTAAGACCCTCTTTCCCACTTCCTAACACCCCTGTCCCACACCGCTGCACTAGTGCTCAGTCCGTTGCTCTAAGTAGTGTCCCCACACATACAAGTGGCACTGCCCTATGGAGCACCATCTGAGGCTCCTCAGGCTCTTCTTGTTGGTCTTCGGGTTCTACCTCCATCATCTTCCTCTTGTTTCCCAGAGTGGAGGAGTTGACCATCCCTGCAGTGGGCCGGCCATGCCTATGACCCTCGCTCCTTTCCTTCTCCACGTCCCTCCTTGTGTCACCGGGCTCTGAGGAGTCTTCCTCCTGAGTAACTCATAGGTCTGCTCACTGTGTGCTGTTCCCTGGCTCTTCTCCAGGATTTGTTACTGGATTGCTTGCCTGTCTTGCCAGAGCTCATCTTGGATCAATGCATATCCTTGCTCAAACTCCTCCAGGGGGCCTCATTCATTTTTTCCTTGGTTTTATTGTGTGTGTGTTTGTGTGTGTGTACACACATGCATGTGTATGTGAGGTTTATGCAAGTCTGTATGTCAGAATGTGAGTGGGCAAATGTGTATGCATATACACTTGTGCCAAGGCCCAAGATTGGCATCAGGTGTCTTCTTTGGTTGCCTCTGTACTTCATATATTGAGGCAGCATCTTCCCTCCTGCTGATCTGGCTTGCCAGCATGCTCTGAGGATTTCCTGTCTCCACCTCCTTCAAGCTGGGATTGCTAGGTGGGCCATGCCCACCTAGCTTGCCTTTTGGGCACTGGGGATCTGAACTCCGATCCTCAGGTTTGCACAATGAACACTTTATCTGCTGGGTCATGTCGTCAACCCCCCTCATTTCTTACAGAATAAAAGTCCATCCTGGAAAGTCCCTTTCATTTGAAAGGTGCAGCTTGGTGATCCCCCTGCACATTGTACTGGGCAGGTCTCTCTTTTGGAGCTCTTTTCTCACAGGTGTGCCTCAGGACTTGTCACTTGCAATCACCACTTCGTATTTACTCACTGTCTCACCTACCATGCCTGAATTTCTCAAGAGAACAGACTGTTTACAGAACTGTCCATTCTGGAGGGCCTGCCATAGTGACTGATGTTATAGTGCGTGTGCCATGAAGGGAAACTGTCCTTCTGTCCTTACTCCATCACCCCGCTGTTAGTTCCTCTCCTATTCTGACCTCTTCCTTTGAACTCTTCTCAGCCTGTCTTTAAGCTTAAAGGCACAAACATGGGTGTGGCTGGTGAGGCAAGACAGACACTTTACATGGGATGTCAGTATACCCGCCTTCTGCCTGCCTGAATTCCCAGAGAGACTATGAGTTTAGGATAGCAATTAGAGACCTGAGTGAGTGTTCCTAGGATGCAGACCTGGCCTTCCCCAGCAGCCTGTGTCCCTTCCCTGTGCAGGCAAGTTCAAGCTCCTGGAGCAGGCTCGGGATGTCAGAGAGCCGGTGAGATACTTCAGCAGTGTGGAGGAGGTGGCCAGCGTTTTTCCTGACCGAATCTTTGTAATGGAAGCCATCACCTTCAGTGTCAAGGTCAGTCCTGGCACAGGGTAGGATCTTTCCAAGCTCACCTTCCCCCAGGTTAGAGTGTGAAGGGAGGAAGGGAGAGAGGGAGGAAGGGAGAGAGAGAGAGGGAGGGAGGGAAGGAAGGGTAGGTGGCTTCCATGTACCCTTTGGTACAGTCAGGCCATGCCAGAAAAGCATTCAGCAGACAGGACTTCCTAGGAAGGGTGGTGAAGCAGGAATGGTGTGTGGAAGGGTCACGACCTGATGAGAACATTCGGGGTGGCCTTCTTGTCCATTAGTTCCTTTCTCTTTACAGTAAGTAGTCTTGAGCATTGTTATCACTTAATAAAACCTGCCATGACTGAGCACTTTCAAAGTATACCTCTATACTAAGAGTATCATTTTCTTAATAAACCCTGCCATGACTGAGCACTTTCAAAGTATACCTCTATACTAAGAGTATCATATGAGGTAACTAAGGACCTAAGGAAAACATTAAAAGTCGCACAGCTTTTCTCCAGTACCAGTCCGGTGCTCTTGCAGGAAAGGAACGGAGACCCCGAGGAGCTTGGAGCTCAGCGGTGTGTGACTTTCCTTGGTACCCTGGTTCGAGCCTCACCTTGTCTCTGGGATTCCCCAGGTGGTGTCAGGCGAGTTCAGCGAGGACAGCGAGGTGTACAACTTCACACTACATGCGGGCGACGAGCTCACGCTCATGGGCCAGGCAGAGATTCTGTGCGCCAAGACCACCAAGGAGCGCTCGCGCTTCACCACGCTCCTGCGCAAGCTGGGCCGCGCTGGGGCCCTGGCCGGAATGGGTGGCCCCGGGAACGTGGGGGCCACGGGGGGTGGCGGTGGGACCGCCAGGCCCGTCAAAGGCAAGATGCCCTGTCTCATCTGCATGAACCACCGCACCAACGAAAGCCTGAGCCTGCCTTTCCAGTGCCAGGGCCGCTTCAGCACGCGCAGCCCGCTGGAGCTGCAGATGCAGGAGGGCGAGCACACGGTGCGCGCCATCA